TTTTTCGTCACAGTTAGTATCGAAGGCAGACCTGTACAATTTGAAATCGATACCGGGTCTGGCTATACATTTTTACCCAGAGACATATTTGCGAATCTAAACATTAATGTTCCGCTATTGTCATCAAACATGGCATTTCGATCATACACAAAAAACGTTTTCGTTCCCGATGGGAAAATTTTGGTACAAGGAGAGCATAAAGGTAATGCGATAACAGATGAAATATATATCGTGCCAGAAGAGTATACAGCGCTCCTAGGGCGTAATTGGATTAGGAAGCTCAACATAAATTTGAACGAAATCAACTCTGTACATATAACAAATCCTTCAAGCGATATAGATATTATCAAATTATTGAGCGACCAATTTAAATCAATCTTTGAAAGCAAAGTTGGTTGCGTCAAACAATACACAGTGTCGCTTAAGTTAAGGGATGGGGCAAAGCCTATTTTTAATCGTGACCGTGAGGTTCCATATGCCTTAATTCAGAAAGTTAATCAAGAGCTTGACGAGTTAGAAACGGCGGGAATAATTTCATAAACTGAGATTAGCGATTGGGGATACCCCTTGGTAGTTATACCAAAGGTGGGCGGAGGTGTACGCTTATGTGTCGACTATAAAGTAGGAGTATATGAACGTCTAGTGGACGCACATAGTCCGATAAGGAAAACAGAAGACATATTCAATTGCTTACGTGATTCAATGTATTTTTGGAGGCTAGACCTATACAAAGCTTATTTACATATACCAGTCGATGAAGATTCGAGCATAGTACAAACGATATCTACACACCGCGGCACATACAAGGTGAATCGTTTATCCTTCGGTATTAAGACGGCACCATCCGAGTTCAACCGAATACTTAATCAAATACTCCACGACGTCCCAAAAACAGAAGCATACTTCGACGACATTATAGTTCACGGGGCAACAAAACTAGAATGTAGAGAAAACTTATACAAGTGTCTACATCAACTACAGAGTTTTGACCTTCACCTTAACAAAGACAAATGTACTTTTTTTCAAGAAGAAATTAGTTTCTGGGGCACACAATCAAGCATAATCAAATTTCAAAATCAAAAAACAAAATAGCAGCAATCGTAGATTTACCTAAGCCAAAGTCGGTTGATGACGTCAGACGATTTCTTGGAATGGTTACTTACTACGCGCGTTTTATTCCAAACTGTTCAACAATCACATCTCCACTGCGTAGTCAAACCAAGAAGGGTGTAAAATTCAATTGGTCGAGACAATGCGATAAAGCGTTCGATATTATCAACAAGGAAATAGCAAGCGATCGTGTACTCGTACCGTACAATCCAGCGCATCAGCTCCAATTAGCGTGCGATGCCAGTCCAACTGGAGTCGCAGGGGTATTATCTCATATAATAGACGGTCAGGAACGACCAATTTCGTTCGCTTCTAGATCTCTTACAAAATCCGAGCAAAATTACTCACAAATTGACCGAGAAGCATTAGCAATCGTATTCTCAGTCGATCATTTTTATCAATATTTGTTTGGAAGGCAATTTATCTTGTTACAGATAATCAACCATTAGTACGAATTTTCAATCAAAATGCGAAACTACCACAAATGAGTTTTTCGCGCCTTCAAAGGTATGCAGTTTTTCTTTCCGGTTTTGACTATCGAGTCGTTTACAAACGAGGGATAGATAACGCTAACGCCGACTGCCTGTCTCGAGCTCCAGTATGTTCGCCACATCTAGCGGACACCATTATCAACAATGAAATCAACCAAATCTGTGAATCGACTATACAACAAATTTCAACGCTAAAACTAAATCATAATACTCTCAAATTAGAAACTGAAAAAGATAGCGAACTCTCCGCACTATTGCAAAATCTCAAAAACAAGCGGATAGAAAATACAATGTTTACAATCAACAATGGTATCATATTTAGGGGTCAACGCGTCGTAATACCTGCAATCTTACAACAATTGGTACTAAAAGAGCTTCACCTTACACACATGGGTATTTCAAAAATGAAACAACTAGCTCGCAGGTACGTGTATTGGAAATCAATTGATAAGGACATCAAACAACTAGTCAAAGAATGTGTCGCATGTTCAACGGTTAGGGCCTGCCCTCCAAAAGTCAAATTACACACATGGGAGGAACCAGAACAAAACTGGCAGAGGATCCACATCGATTATGCAGGGCCTTTTCAAAGATATCATTATTTGGTCGTGATAGACGCAAAGTCTAAATGGGCTGAAATTGGACTGACAAATATAGCACCAACATCCAGTATAACAATTGAAATGCTAAGTGACGTATATGCAAGACATGGGTATCCGGATGTAATTGTATCCGACAACGCCACAATATTCACTAGCGACGAATTCAAGCTGTTTTGCTCAAGTCATGGCGTCTTCCAAAAGTTCATTGCACCAGGCCATCCAGCTACGAACGGGCTAGCCGAACGCAATATTCAAACGTTGAAACAACGTCTTAAATGTATGACAGACGACCCTCGTCCTATGCGAAAAAAGTTAAGAGAAATACTTTTCCGCTACAGGTCAACGCCATTGAAGTGTGGAAATACTCCAGCAGAACTGTATCTGGGAAGACAGATACGAATTCAACTTGACACACTCAAACCACCTAAAGTGGATAGCCAACGTACCGTTCAAAGACATGACGTTCGTCAATTAAAGGAGGGAGAGAGAGTACAAACCCGTTATTACATCAACAATAAAAAGTCATGGAAATTCGGTACAATCATCAAAAAGTTGGGTCACCTTCATTACATGATCAAATTAGACGATGGATATATTCTCAAGCGCCACATAAATCAATTGCGCGCAACAAGAGTTCCATCACATACTCCAACAGCGAGTTCGACTAACACGTCATCACAAGATTGTGAACCATATAGTTGTTCCCCAAATTTTCAGGACCTCGTACAGGTTCCAACGAATACAGAGAATCGTCCAAGGTCATCTGACAGCGAAGGACACAACACTCCGGTAACAACAACACCCCGGAGATCCGAACGGCAGCGTCGGGCACCAGCATACTTGAATGACTACCGACGTAATACTTAAGCAGGGGAGAACTATTGTAACTTTACATGTCATATGGCAACTCTGTATATATGTATATGTATATTGATACTTGGCAGCACAGTTAAATATATCGAGCTGTCATTATTCATTTCTTTTTATAATGATTCATTCTGTAGAATCATCGTTCATACAACTTAAATTAAATGAAATATAATTATCTGAATAGAACAACCTGTGTAACACTTCTTCCAATTAAACCACAACACCATGTATTTTTTTAAACAAACCTTCTTGCAGAGGACTTATTTAATTTGCAAAAGCCGAAAGAAAACATTCGCTTAGTAAATGAATTCAAAATGTGTATGGCTCACTTCATTTCAAACGTTTTTTCTTTTGTTTTGAATAATTATAAAAATTAAATTGAGCGAAAACAAAGGCAAATAAAAGTAAAAGAATTAAGATTGAACTGCGTCAAAATAAAGGAGCACGAATTTCGATGTGAAGCAAAACTCTCTGGGAAGACAATACCTTTAATTATTGTACCATGATTGCAAGGCACATAAATACAGGTAGAAGCCAAAATGGCATTGCTCTCATGAGAACCAAACCTTTAAACTTCAACTTGTTTTTCTTTTATTTCCTATATTTCGTTACGCTTTGAATGTCATATCGTTGTTTTTTTTTAATGTCCGTTAATAACACAAATTTTAATTAACATTTGAATTTTTGTTGTTGTTGTTGTAACAGCATACAAATTCCCCAAAGAGATTTTGGGGAGTGTTGCTGGAGTGGTGGCAGTCCTTGGCCAGATATATATCTATCTGGGTCGTTCCGGTTACGTAGACCCGACTGTCGTGGGAATTTGAATTTTTGTAGTATATTGCGGTGTATACTTGATGTGTTAAAAATGCAACACCTGAATATAACCTGTTAAATATAACGCAGATACCACTAATTTTTTTATCGTGCCTCAATGTCCTTCGCGTAAGGAACGTTGCGATAGCAGCTGTGGGGCAGAGCTGCAGCGAAATGCCTTGCTGTGCGTTAAACATTTTAAAGGAGCAGATTTCACAAATACAACAACAACAACAACAAATACACCAAGTGCAGTTTCAAGTGGCTAAGAAATCGCGAAGATTTTTGATAACTTTTTTGTTGACGGTGTCACGCATTTTCTTCCAAACAAAGTATGTTCAACAATTTTTGATTTGTATGGAAGTAAATAATAAATAGCACCATCTGCGAAAAAAAAATCAACAAATCAACGCAAATTTTTAGCCACTTGAAACGTGCACTTTCTCAATCTAGAGTTTAATGGACTATAAAACTGCATTTGTACTTATTTAGATTTTTTCTTAGTAAAAAGTTTGTATTTGTTGTAAAATTTTGCTTAATTATTCGAATTTTTCTAGACAATGAGCTATGTATATTTCTATTAAAAAAAAACATAATGAACCTTACACCAGGGTTTGAAATTGCTTGACTATTTTCAATGCATTCGCAATTGCTTCGTTGCGACTTAAAAGAGGTAAATCAGCGACAGCAAACAGCAAAGTACTACGGATTGTAAATTTTTGTTAACTATGAGGTGAATGAAAATTTTCAACCCGGCCTGACGGTTTTGAAGAATTTTTTTGTTCAAATTTTATTACTAACGCGTCTAATAAATGCATGGCTTTTAGTTCTAGAAGAATAAAAGTCAGTAAAGACAAGTCTTTTTTGTGTAGTTTCTGATTTTAATTGCTCAACTTCTTTTGCACCAGAGCAACTGTTAAAAATTTCCAGCAGTAAAAAGTTACGAATTGGCACAGCAATGTAAAATTTTCTCGCCATAATAAAAAAGTTTTTTCAACATGGATCTTTTCTACTAATTGACATGAAATTACTATCTCAACGCTCGGAGCGCTGCCACTGAGGGCTTTTGCAAACTGATAAAAAAGAGAAAATTTGGAAATACCAAACAAAAATTTTTAGATTTCTTCTTGTGAATACGAATGCCATAGTTTTTACCTAGCTCGTGGGACTACGCAAAATTTTGACAGCTTGTAAATATGTATACACATAAAGTTGTTGGCGGTAATAAAGAGTCAAAATCAAAATGGAGAAAAGAACAAAAAGCGTACGTTAGTTGTCAGTTATAAAATAAATCCAATTTATTTGCGAATATTTGTTTATTCTAGTTATTGAAAGGCAACTACGCGAAAAAGCTCGTGTTAATTATATTGATAACAAAACCTGGCAGCTCGCACGTTGTCTAAATTCTCAAGTAACATAAAATCCACAAAAGAATACATTGCTTGTATTACCATCAATACGCCATGTATAAATTTTAACAACACACAAAAATAGAGCTTTCGCACGAGCGTTTGTTTGGTTTTTCAACACCATTTATAATTTTCTTTTAATAAAATCACGTATTGTCAAATGCTTAAATTTATTTATCTAATAATAATGCAGCACCAACCCTGAAATCTAAGAAAAAGTCTGAGGAAGGCCATTAAATAGCAGCACACAACCCCGTGCCTTCCTCAGGAGTGAATATAACTACAACAACAACGACTACTACAACAACAACCCAAAAAGGTTGGTTACTGTCTATACTGTGGTTTACACAGTCAGCCGAAGCAAACCAGTTCAGAAAAATTTGCTCTTCCTGCAAGCTTACTGATTCGGGGTTATTTTTACTAGGACTAGTGAATCAAATTTCTAGTTCCGTACTAGGTCTTTCTCGTTAAAAAGGAACTAGTATGATAGGAACTAGATCCCCACCAGTACAAAATCGGCGAAAAGTGGTACTTTTAAAAAACTAATTTTTTCAGTTTTTTCACTAGAAATCTATATCTAAAGTGACGAATTTAGAACTGGTTCGGAACTATAGAAAAAGGGATGCAGAACGAACTAGATCTTATTTGTCGAATTTTGAACTAATTCGGAACTATCGAATAAGGGATGCAGCGGGGGGCTTGCTTACTTTACACAGATATGTGTTCGGCGGCTTCTTCGTTCATATACGCTTTTATTCTGTGCTTCGCAGATGCTTTTTCATAGCTTGGTAATACAAAACTAAAATTTGTGTTAACATTTCAACATCTTGGGACCGTCTGGAATCTAAGAAATAACAGCGAGCACCTCTGCAAACTCAGCTACAGCTAAAGGTATGTAAACGTACATTTCTTACGATCATTCAAACAAATTTAATTTCAAATTGAAAACACATTTCTTCCAAAATAACTTAAAATCGCACACACGGAAGAACCAAAAAGAATTTTTCAATACTTTTTTCTTTCGTCTGTCGATTTTAGAACTGGTTCGGAACTATAGAATTTAGAACTAGTTCGGAACTATCGAAAAAGGGATGCAGCGGGGGGCAATTGACACTTCCTAGGACATCGCCATGTTAAATTCGCCAGTTGCTTGCATGCAAAAGAGATTTATCGCGAACCAGTACTGGGTCTAAATGTACTAGAAGCGCTCCAGTTCAGAACTAGAGATTTTCCCCACAGGGTACATACATATGTTTGTTTGTATGTACATACATGTGTATGTACATATATACGCAAAAAAGTGTTGCTTATGCTATTTTGTAGTCAGAAATTCAAACCCTGCATTCAACAAACAAAAGAAAAATTGTCAAAACTGATATAATGCATGTATCTACGTATAATTGCTACTTTATAGTTATAACAAAGATTTTCCTTTTATTGTGCTGTGATTGACTTAATATTAGATACAATTGTACATACACCGCTTTTGATGCATATATCTAAAGAAATCGAAAGTATAGACCACCTGTTTCATGTAAGCACCACATATAAAAGATTTCCCCTCAAACAAAATTTTAATCGGAGTGCGGTGAAGTTATAGGTGTATTCGCGTATTCTTCCAGCAGAAAACTCTCAGCAGCAAAATTCTAATGAATTTTCATCTGATCTCTCTCAAAGGGAGAAATGTTAGCAAAACTACGCGAACGCAAACCAGCAAAAACTTGCAAGTTTTCAGTACAGCTGATCGAAATTTTGTTTACATGCAAAAGCATAAAACAGAAAACATGAAAAGAATATAAATTAAAAGTTTTCCTAAAGCAATGTGCTAATCAAACATGAGTAAATAAGTATTTGCTTTCTTCCGATACATTTGCAGTTCTAATAAGTTATTTCAAACTTTAAAATTATAATAATAAATCTAAATCTAAATCTAAATCTAAAATAAATTTCCGTATTTTCATAAATTGAAAACAGATGACTTTGATTGATCAGCTGTTTTTCTTGCTGGCAAATGACTGCTGGCAAAAATTTTTCCAGCAGAAACTAGCAGCTTTTCATCAGAATGAAATGTCAATTTGGTCTCTTAATTTCCCCTACTTTGCTGGATTTTTGTGTACACGAACAGGAAAATCTGATAAGTTTTTGATAATACGCGAATAGTTCGAATTAGTTCGAAAAAGGCAGTGCTTATAAGCCTGTTAAAAACAAAATCTGTGTACAAGCACCCTGTAAGAATTATTTTACATGATTAGAATTTCTATAATGGTTTTAAATTACCGTCGTCACTTTCCTAATTTGGCGTACATTTTTATCTATGCTTATATCCGGAGAATACTAAATAAGTATAGCAGTTCAAATACTTACATAATTCGGGATTTAATGCACTTGTCCCTTTTGTATTTGTCAGATTTGTTTTCAAGCAGTCATCATCGAGCTCGCGTGTCTGAAATGTAATTATTTATTATTAACCTTTTGTTTTGGCAAATAATTATGAACATATAAAAAGTCATTTAAAAAGATCAACTAAGCTGCCCCAGTTTAAGAAATTTTAAATTGGATTTTAATTCTTTCATTACTAGCGTTAAATATATTTTAACACGAGAAATTGGTAAGAAATCGGTTAAATTTTCTGGGATTGTAGACCTGCCTGCTTTGGTGTGAGTTAAAGCGAAAAATTTCCTGAAATAGTAAAGAGAATATTTTGAGCTATCTACAGTGACTCAAACAAATGACGCCGTGTTGTTTTTTTTAATATCCGAGGTCCGTTAACCTCCA